GAGCTATGCGTACAGTACTTGGGGTGGTTCATACGATCAAGTACTTTGCTACTTGGTGCTTTCTGAAGGCAATAGACCTGTGCTTTCTGGGTAGAACTGCAAAAGGGTTCCAGAATGGCCTACCCAAGCGCTATGTGCAAGTGCTGTGTTCAGTCTCGACAGATTTGCTTCCGTCTCTGTGAATGACTGTATTTTGGTAAAAACCACCCCGCTGCTGCTGCCGGGGATGTGTGTAAAGTGCCGTCAGGTCGCAGCTAACTTGCAGCAACCCCTTGAAAGTAAGGGGGCTTTCAAGGCAAGTGAGAAGCAGAGGTGGTTTGCCATAGCCTTCCTCTGCCGTCTTCCTTGTCGGTCTCCCATCCGAGTACTAACCAGGGCTGACCCTGCTTAGCGGCTGAGAACTGCCAAGGTCAGACTATATACCATGCCACCTTCCCTCAGCTGCCAGGGATAACATAACAAAAATAACTGCTGTGATGAGCGTGTGTGTCTCTGGCAGTGAAATGTCTGTCCATCACTGTTGTTCGTGTACCTCTCTCTGTGTTAGTGCCTTGCAAATGGCTGTTCTTGAGGTGCAGGCAGCTATCGAAATTGACATAGCTAAATCCTCCCACTGTAGATCCTGTGTTCGAATGTTGATCTCAGGGAGTTGCCAGGTTGCAAGAGGGGCGCTCTAGACCTGTTACGAGTCAGTAGTAATTGTTCTTATTTTACCAGCATACATGGTGACTTGCAATGTATTGGGTCGGGTCCAGAGCCAGATCTTCACTTGCCCTTGAGTTCTTGCACAAGAGGGAGTACAAGAGAAAGACTGAGGAAGCTGCTTGCGCTAAGCCAGACATATTGCTTGTCTCCGCTTGCATTTCTGCTTGCATAGGATGTTGTGTCACTAATTTCTGGGCACTATAATGTATAGCCACGAACATGCTAGACATTGCCCAAAATGTGGTGCAAGCAGAGCTGCACTAGGTGTTTCCGCTTTTGCATCGCTGGATCCAAAGTATTGTCAAGCTCTAACGGGCTAAACAGTAGACAGCCAAGTCTTGAGGACACATTCCCAGTACGACACAAAAAGTGCAGTCCTAAACAGAATTAAAACCTTCTAATCCATCGATTTTAAATGAACTTGGAAGGATGTAACTCTTGTTAGGATTTCACCGACGCGGCCTTCCTGTGAAGCTCATTCACGGAGTGTAGACTTCAGTGTGGCTAAATACCGTGTAGCGAAACAGCTGAAGCTTACAATCTTCTCTGAAGGTAATTACTTCTAGAAAACTTAATTGAAACTCTCTTCTTTTCTAGGTGTAAGTGGCCGTTTCTTTGTCACTACACTTCCCACTATTTTCCAGTAAGTATGTTATTTTGTCTATCTGAAAACATGAATTGTTTGCTGTATATCTATAGCTGTCCATATATATATCGATGTGTAGCTTGGGATGTTGAACTGTTTCTCGGCTTTTGGTCAAGGTCCTTCGAGTTCGGTGGAAATCTGACTTTTGCATCCAGTGGGGAAGGGAACTGCAGGCACAAGAATCTTTGCATAGGGGAGACAGTACGGAGTTGAATTAGCATGCTGCCATTCCGTTGTTGTTTTTTAAAGCCCCCCGAAGGGGATTTTTATTGCATTTTCTAAATACTACAGAAAAAGGGAAAGGGTACTAAACACTACATGCTGCCATTCCTCATTTGAAGGGGTAATGCTCCCTCTAAGCTGTGGAGTCTTGTGAGCAAGAATTCTACTTTGTGAGCTACTGGCATTAAAGTTGTGAGCAAGAAATTTGGCTACCGCATAAATCAGTTTGCTCTGGAGCCCTCCTTCCTGAGCTAAGACGAAAATCTGTGAGCTGGAGGCTAAAAGAGGCTAACTCAGCTTAGAGGGAACACTAGTAACGACCTGCCCCTTGAGCCTCAAAGGCATTGCCCTCTCTATAGGGAGGGACCAATGTAGTTGATCAGTTTCCTCATCTGCCGCAAGGACAGGCAGTATTCTGGTTGTCCCTAGTCCAGGGAAGCTCAGCAGCAGCTTCTGTAACCCTGGTTTCAAGATGCATTGTGAGATAGAAGAAAATGCCCATCCCTATTTAAAAACTGTATGGGTTTTATGCTGTGGTTACGGCAGCAGGCGATGGCCTGCTACACATGCAAGTGGCAGAGGAAGAAGAATAACAGGAAGGTCTGGAGGCTCACTCTGCTCGGTTCTGTTGCCCGGTCCCACATCTTGGTGTCTCTGTACTGGACAAGTGTACTGGAACAGCACAGGGAGTAAGAGGTAGGGAGGCAAAGGGAGGTCTGAACAACAGAGGACTTTTTTCTCTGCCCTCTGCAAACCTTCTAAAAAGACATTTAGATACCTTTGACTACTTTCCTGCATGACGGATAGGGCACTACTTCCTGCATGACGGATAGGGCACTACTTCCTGCATGACGGATAGGGCACTACTTCCTGCATGACGGATAGGGCACTACTTCCTGTACCTCTTTGTTTTCAGTGCAAAGGATGGAACCTTTTTCAGATACCGTGGATCAAGAACACTGGAGGACCTGAAAGACTATATCCTGGAGAGAAAGTGGGAGGCTGTTGAACCTGTCCCAGGATGGAAGTCCCCATCCTCTATAATGCAAGTACATGACGCTGTGCCCTGTGATTTTTTTAACTATAAGTTGCATCTAAGGGTGCTGCCACTCATGGGAAACAGCAGCCTTCTGCCATCACAACTTCTAAGGGTGATTTGCTTGTGCCTCTGTTGCACCATGTTGTGAGTTTACCGATCCTACATTACTGGTGACTCTGGTGTGGAAATGTGTAGTAGTGTGGCACTGAGGAACTGCTGTGTTGCTTTTTCTTCCACAGGGTATAAGCTGGGTTCTCCTTCAAGGGGTGTTTTATAGTAGGGCTGCTGGTTTTGGTGAAAGCTGTAAGTAGATAAATAGGGACCACTTCGGTGGGAAGGTAACAGCGTTCCGTGCGCCTTGGTGTTTAGTCATGCCGGCCACATGACCACGGAAACGTCTTCGGACAGCGCTGGCTCTTCGGCTTTGAAACGGAGATGAGCACCGCAACCCTGGAGTCAGATTCGACTGGCTTTCGAGCAAGGGAACCTTTACCTTTACTTTAAGCCCAGAAGTGGACAATGATATATGGAGTAATTAGTACAGTAGTGTGTGTATTAATGCTGCCATGACCAGCTGTGTCCAAATGCTCATACTGTGCCTCTGTTTTAACCCAATGTATTGGTTGTGGATTGTTTTTCTCTGCAAGTTACTATACTATTGTATGTTACTATACTATACTATACTACATACTATTGTATGTAACTTCCATCAACAGTTATGAATCATCAAACAATAATTCCGATTCAAAGCTGGAAGGCATGTTAGTTTGTAGCTGCAAAATAAAACTAGGAACCAGGCTCGTAGCTACAGTGGGGCCTTTGGGGACTCTGCCCCCTTTCCCACAGGCACAGCCCCACAAGAATTTCTCCTGTAAATGCTTTTTCCCAATAATCGTTAAACACTTTTTTAAAAGACATGCGCTTCTTCAAGCAGAGTGGGGTGCTGTAGTTGACTAATTCCTGCACTGAGCAAGGGGGTTGGAGTATGTGACCTCTTGGAAGCCTTCTAATTCTATATCAAGAAACGGGTCTCCTTTAAGAGAGTTTTTCTGCCTAAGTGTTAGATTTCTTGAGCATAGAAGTCATCACCCCCACCTGCCGGCTTGTTCTCAGAATTGTTGCTTAGGCTGGCAGCAGTGATTAACTTGCAGCAGCTGAGAACTATCATATAAAGCGGTTGCAATGTAGACCTGTATCCTGGCAACAGGTTTCTATTGGCTAAATGACTTTTTTCTCTGCACTGAGAATTTCAGCCCCACCAGAAAAAAATTTGCCCTGCAAGGCACAAAATCCTGGCTACGGGCCTGCTAGGAACTCACTGGCATCTTAGAGACTAACAAAAGCATAGGTTGAAATGTATAATTCTAGTCTTTTAAGGAGTCCTGTTTATATATATCCAACAATGAGGTGACTTGATGTTGCCTTTGGAGGTGTTGAAATGTTGAAAACCAGATGCTAGTATCCTGGTTTTTCTCCGTTTTGTTGTGTATGGCGTAGCTGAGTTGTTATGCAGAAAGGTAAAACGGGTGTAGTAAGCATATGAAATGTCGCGTTTGTCGCATAGGGTGCACAAACTCTTTACTTACCCAGCCATTATTCAGGTGGGTGTCAACTAATTGTTTTTCCTTCCTAGGATGCATGGCATGGCAGGACTCTTCTATTTATCTGGATGGATCAGGGTGAGTAAAAGTGCCAAGAAGTTCGTGAACAGAAGCTTTATACACGCAGTTCTGGGAAAAGGGCCTGCGTGTTGCCATTCTGTGCCTTTCACTTCAACATAGCGCTAGCTGCACAAGTTCCTTGCTTGGTAGAATGATCAGTTCTACCGGACAAGAAGCTTGTGCACCTAGTGTTGTGGTGAAGCGAAAGGCACAGAGGTGTGTGAAGTCACGCAGTAAGTTTTGTACAGTTCCTAACTCAGTGACTATTCTGTGTAATACTTATACTGCTTCTGTCTTAGTTTCCAAGGAGCTGGGCAGCATTTTAAAATTATTATTATTTACTTAATTACGAGTGGGCTCAGGGTGGCTTACAGCATAAAATCCATAAAATCTGTAAAACAATAAAAACAATAAAACCAGTGGAGCAGTAGATGGCACAATAAACAATAACAGCAAACCCTGTGCCTCCTATCAGGTGAATATGGGTACCCCAGAGAATTCCGTTGCCCAATAGAAGAAGGAGAGAAGGAGAGATTGGATTTATGCCCCGCCCTTCACTCAGAGTCTCAGAGCAGCTTATGATCTTCTTCCCCTTCCCCTCCCCACAACAGACACCCTGTGAGGTAGGGTGGGGCTAAGAGAGCTCTGACAGAACTGTCCTTGAGAGAACAGCTCTGACAGAACTATGGCTTGCCCAAGGTCATCCAGCGGCTGCAAGTGGAGGAGTGGGGAATCAAACCAGGTTCTCCCAGGTTAGAGTCCGTGCACTTAATCTCGACACCAAACAATAATATTACCTAATTTTTTTTTTATCCCTATAGTCATCCTGTAATGTAAAGGCAAACCTAAAGCCACTTAACACTGCCATCCTAAGCAGAATTGCATCTGTCTAAGTCATTTGAAGTGAATGGACTTAGGAAGGTGTAACACTCTTTAGGACAGTGAGATTCGAGTCCACTGGCAACTTAGAGACCAGCAAGAGTTTCAGGGTATAAGCTTTTGAGAGTCAACAGATCTTACTCAGGGCTGAATAGGGACATCGCTTTCAGATGCTAATTTTCTGCCTCCAAACGTTTCTTGGAGTTTGGTGAAGTGGTTAGGAGCACGAACTCTAATCTGGGAGAACGAGAGTTTGATTCCCCACCCCTTCACATGCAGCTGCTGGCATGACCTTGGGTCAGTCATAAATCCTTTCAGAGCTGTTCTTTCAAGGGCAGTTCTCGGAAGAGGTCTCTCAGCCCCACCTACCTCACAGGGTGTCTGTTGTGGGGAAGGGAAGGGAAAGGAGAATCTAAGCCGCTTTGTAACTGCTTCTTGTTTGGAGACACATCCCCACTTCTGAATATATATGGTGAGCCATTTGTCTCTAGCGAATTCATGCTGCTTACAATCAATAAAGAAGTGCCAGATAGTATCCAGATTCCCTTCAGGTTTAAATCCAGATTAAACTTCAAGTTTAAACCAGTGCATACGGAAAAGCGGTTACAGTCAGTGAATGGTAAACAGCCCTGACATTTACGTGCACAGATAATGGCAAATGAGAAATTGGCTTTTAGTTCTGGGAATTGGTGGTTCTTCGGTAAAACTGCCTTTGTTTTTAATCTGTGCAGCATGAACTAGAATTTCATGCGTTCTTTTCTTCTACAGGCCACCTACGTGTTTTCTGCTCATGTGTTTACTGCTTTAACAATGAGGTTTAAGAACCTGCTTAATTAGGAATGAGGTTTCCAGTAATCTGCCCTGGATATTTTTAAAGCTTAATTTGTAAGATAAGGTGTAAGAGATTTGTACTACATTTTTTATAACTATATTAAGGGCAATGTCACATGTAACTGCCTCACCAGGCCGCTTACAGTAAGAATTTGTATGCTCTTTGGTTTAATGGCGTTGACGTCCAAACCATCTGTTGAGCTGTGTGAACGTCATGTTATGCCGTGGGTGAGAAGGGTGGTCAAATTCAAGTCATTTTGTTTGTGTTGTTTGCAGCAAATCCACAGCTACTTAACAGGCACTCTTGGAATCCATGAATGGGGCTCTTATGCAGTCTTCATACTGGCCACTTTATTGATTGGTCTTATCCTAGGCTTGGTAAGAATACATCTGGGTTTTTTTTTTACAAGCTTTTAAAAAACAAATGCAGGAGCTTCCCCCCCCCAATTTTTTTTGAGAATTCCCCCTCCCCAGTTACCATGTAAACCTTTTGCATTAACCTTGTCTTAAAGTAATTGTGCCCTGTTAGTGCTTAGAAACAGGGCAAAATAAGAGACCTCCTTGCTTGTAAGGTAAAACAGCATATAGAAAAAAGCCAGGGAAACGCTATATCTCATAGAATATGCAAAGGTTTACGTGAAATAGATGAAAATACAAATATAACAAGAAAGTACAACAATATATAAATGCAAACAGGGCAACAAGTAGCCAAATAACGAAGGCTCCGGATTCTTCTCTTCGTTTCGTGAATGTCACTTCATCAGAAGTATTCTTCACACAATCTTGTTATCATTTCTTTTCATGGTGTAGAAAAATCAATTTTACAAATCAAGCGTCTTGTACAATTTCAAATAGTCATCAAATTGATCTCATCGGGCACTAGTCAAACATATAACAAAACAATGCAGCACACAATACAAAATGGCAAGTAACAGCAAAACAACTGTGTGCTGAAATACCCGCAAGAGTAAATATACAAAAAGAGACTTCAGCAAAGTGAAACACATATGTCATCAGCAATAAATCTGTACATAAAATCCACCATAGGAAATATAGAAGTCTGCAGGATGCACCAAGTCCAAAGTAGATATCCAACACTTTTCCTAGGTAGTATGCAGTGTTTCAGACTTCTGGTCCTTCCTCAGGAACAAAGAGCTATAGAAGTACAAAATGCAATAAGACCTTTTAACAATATAGCTAAATAAATTCCAACATTGCACAAAAATAATATTAAATACAAATGATCACTGTTATACAGAGTCTCATACATCTTACCCACAATAGAAAATCTCACTCCAATTTGTTTATAACCAGCTGTACTTAATGTAACTCATAAAGCAGGCCTAGCAGGCTGAATACTCTAAGGCATTTTTGGTCCTGTTCTACATAGTAGCAACCTTGAGAGGTACACTTTCAAGCTTAGGAGACCTGGCCCATAAGTGAGTATATATTGGTGGTTTTGTGGTCCATATATTGTGTTATATTGTGCTAAAACTTCTTTATTCTAAGGAGTTATTCTCTTTTACAGAGAAACTGAACAATATTGTCTTGTAAAGAAATTGGAATGAGACTTTCTTAATAAGCTTGCAGTGCAATCCAAAACAAAGTTACACCCTTTCATTGAAGTCAATAGGCTCAAAAAGGTGAAGCTCTGTTTAAGATTGCACCGTTCGTCTCCTTTCTCCAGGCCACGCAGATGATTTTCGTCTTCATCTGACACAAGGCGCTCTCTCTTACCATGGGCCTCCGTTTCCTTATGTCCTGTGGTGGTTCTTGCTTAGCTTTAATAATTAAGTTCCTTCTTGGTGAGCTACAAAATACTTCAGGAGTTCAGTCCAGAAGAGCCATCTGGAGCTGTCTGTTGATATTTGTAGGGACGCCTGTGTTTCTCAGCTGTCCCGGGAAAACTTGCTTAATCCATCTATCTGGTTAAGTATCAGGCAAACAGTTAACCTTCAGTTACTGTGGAAATCCAATGCAGTGACTGCATAGCTGTGTTTATACCTTGGCAGTATGGAAGCGCATTGCTTTACTAGAGGTGTAAAAACTGTCTGCGCTGCAGTCATTTGCATCATCAGACTTCTGGCTCAGTAGGGATGCAGGGTGGCTAACTCATTATAGGAAATAATTTACTCTCTTCTTAGCATTCATGTATGCTATTCATACCTATTTTGGTTTTGGCTTCAATTTGGGGAAAAAATTGCCCTGCTTATGGGCAATTCTCTCTGTGTGTGTTCTCTCTCTCTCTCTCTCTCTCTCCTCCCCTCTTCAATTCTACAAAAGTGTAATTTTCTGCCTCTCTGCATTAATCTATGCTATAGTTAATTAATGGTGATCACCCAGGTACTACTCTTGTAGAGCAGTAGTCATTCTTAGCAGTAGAAAGTAACAGCTATGACCAATGTTCCCTCTAAGCTGTGGAGTCTTGTGAGCGAAAATCCTACTTTGTGAGCTACTGGCATTAAAGTTGTGAGCGAGCGATTTGGCTGCTGCATAAATTAGTTTGCTCTGGAGCCCTCCTTCCTGAGCTAAGACAAAAATGTGTGAGCCAGAGGCTAAAAAACTGTGAGCTAGTTCACACTGACTCAGCTTAGAGGGAACACTGGCGATGATTATGCCCCTGATGATTCCTGTTTAACAGGTTATTTGAAGTTTATTGCAGTGTGTTGGTTGGATAATATTGTCGGGAACTCTGTACATGCTAGTAGCTAATACTATGGAAATTAAAAAGGCCACTTGGAATGTTGAATTTAAAAGTTCTGCCTTTTGTGACACTAGCAATGCCATTATCAACAAATAGCTCATAAGCAAGAGGGAATTGTAGGAGCTCATTGTTAGGATAATAGCTACCATGGAAACTGGCCATTAATTTGGGCTAGAGAAGATGCGTGCCTTGCCAACTGATCAGCTTCTTACCCCAGGAGTAAAGCTGAGTGTTGAATTTGAGTTAAATAAGTGTGCATGCACGTACTCGTTTGCTTGAAATACAAGTCAGGCAATTAAACGCGGGGATAGTGCTTTAAAGCATTTGCATTCTTAAGGAGGCTGCACCCAAGTTGACAGGGCTATTGGGAATCCAAGTGAAAGTTTCTTGTAGCAAAATGAGAACAAGCGCAGTATAATTGGCAGTTATGTGGCGTTCTTCTAAGCAGCTGGATTAAGTGACGGGCCATTGAACCTACACTTACATGACAAGTAGGCTCCAATATACAGTATAATCTGGTAACTGAGGTGCACATGGGAATAATAGAACCACAACAACTTAAAAAGCAGCATCCGAGATGGGTAATAGCCCTTGTGTTACTTTTTTCCCCCTTTTACATGCAGATACTGGTTTTGCTTGGGGACTGCGTCTTCCCATCCAAGGCTAAAGCAGAAGAATCAGGTCAGTATATTATCAAAGATCTGTAGCTTGGTGGCAGAGTGGACATCATTGCGGATACAAGAAATTAGCCAAACGGCACGTGTATTCGGCTGAACTGTTTGGGGGAGACAGGTGCAGCTCCTGACCTTTGACATCTCACATACGCAAAGGTGCTTGGCTGTTCTCTCGCCGCCGCCGCCGCTTCTCCACACCTTGGATTGGCCATCATGTTTTTCCAGCCCTGGTTCTTCTTGTCCCCTTTGGCCCTCAGGCTGGTGTAAGAAAACGCTTCCACCCTTTAAGTGACGTGTCAGGATCCTCACCCCACAATCTGCAGTGACCTTGTGAACTTCTTAGCTAACATACAGGCATCACCACACAGACACAGCCTGTTTGGGGTGTGTGTGTGTGCTCTGCTTCTCTTAGTCAATTTGGTCAAAGGAGAAAAGTCATTTTAAAAAAACCAAAACTTTAGTAATATGTCCCCCAAGAAGAAAATACAGCACTTACATTTCAGAAAAGGGGACTAAAAGGAAAGTCTTACCTATATTCTCGCTAAACTCTAGCAAGATTTCTAAACGGTCTGGACAGCAATAAAAAGATATGGGTAACTTTAGAAAGAGATTTTGAGGTGTGCAGCATTGATTTGAACCGTTTCATGCCACCATCTGTATGCACTTTAACATTGCAGGCGCAAAATATTGCAACTTAAAGCGAGTCAAATCCAAAAACACAATTTTCCATGATGCCTGCAGTACAACACTCATCGATTCCATCTGTCATGTCTGGGGGTGTCCCCTAGCTTTGGAGGGGCATTTGCCGTGGCTGCTGAGGGTATTGGAGGGAAGCGAGAGCCTCAGATATGAAAGGGTAGGAGAATTCCGTCACTCTCCTACACCCTTTCCTCGGGGTTGACAGCTGCCTCTGGTTCTCTCTTGCTGGCCAAGCCAGTCGCCTTCGAAATCCTCCCTGACTATCTTGGCTTCCCTCCTTTTATCCTCCTCCAGTCCCTAGGTAATCCCTCCCCTTTCCTTCCCCAGTCTCGGATTGTGCCCTTCCCCTGTCCTTCACCTTTCCTATCATCCCTATTGTGGGGTTTTCGCTTAATCCCGCCCTCCTGATCCCGCCCTGAGGCGGGGAGCCCAGGGGAGTGGCTGCTTCTGGCAAGCCCAAGGAGCCCGCCGCCATCGCCTGCAGCGTCTCTGCACCCGCTCCCCCTGGTAAGCCTTGTCTCCTCCCGTCACCTCTCGCTCGGGGGCGTGCACGTCCTCCTGGCCTTGGGGGCTGCGGAGAGGAGCCTGTCGTGGCCCTTTCCCCCGTTGTCTTTCTCTGAGAAGGGAGGGGGGAGGGCCCTCCAAGGACTCCTGTCTGCCCGCCGGATCCTCCGGCCCAATTGCCGGTTGCCAGGACCCTCTTTGTCCCTCGAACCTCCCTCCCAGGGAGCCTTGCCCTCCATTTTTATTGCTCGCCTTGCCCTCCATTTTTATTGCTCATAGACCAATAAGTCATAAGCAAATAGGGGTGGCCAGAAGAATATTGCAAGTCCTTTTTATTACGAACAATCCAGAGTGTGGCCAGAAGAATAAAGCAAGTTCTTTTTATTAGAAGAGATGCAAAAATAAAAATAAAAAAATAAGCAAATAGGGTATAATACAAAATACAACATATATACATACAGTACATTACAATTACAGTTACAATTTCACAAAATTATGCAATTTGGTTACCAGATATATATTAACTGCCTAAAAGAGTCAATTCATTTAATACCACCCAGGGTTACAGATAAAAACTTTTCCACTGCCAACATCACATTTGGATCAGTATCAATTTATGAGATTAGCTGCAAGTTCCTGATTAGTAGCAGGGCTCCATTTTTGAATGTACACCTAGATCCCTCTCGTCACGAGCCTTATCGTATTTTCTGCAATCAATGAAAAAATGCCAGATTGTATCCAAATCACCTGAATTACAATTACAAAGTCGTTCTGGAAAAGGAGTCCCTAGGAATCTGCCCGCTAATTCCCCAAGAGGCAAAACATTTAATCTTGCCTTGGAAAAACAATACAACACTCACTGGCGGGGGGAAGAGCACAGGTCGGAAGGGGAGACAGCAAAATCAGATAGTTCCTGGCAGAGAAGACAGCTTATTTAGAAAAGTCATATGTTGTTGTTTTGAGTATTTGACCAGCTAACCTGTGCTACATTGTTGCGGGCATGCACCCTGCACGTGGTGTTTGGTAAATAAGGCACAGAGGCTAGAGTTGTTAACCAAAATAAAGTTCTTCATCTGAGTCTATTAGGAGGGGGGGAAACAGGAAAGTTCTAATAAAATAACAAAGTCCTAAACTACATATTTATGCAGCAAATTAGGCTAATACATACCACAAGTCTCTAAGAGGAAAAAAAGGCAAAAGCCTAGGGGCAAGGCTGCTGAGCTAGTGACCTCTCTTCTATAACCTTAACAGGAAGAAGCTCAAGCTCATTAGCCAACCCAAAACACTGGTAAATTAAAACCATCCAATCATTTCCTCAAACACACCAATTAACATACAGGATTGCCTCTGAGCAAGGTTGCACTTCCAGGTCAGGTCTCTGGTAGCATCGTAACAAATACGTTAAATGACTGAAGTTTAGATTTACGTTTAGTAAATGCCCTGGGATGTGGGTACTGCAGCCTTAAGGGGCCAGACCTAGCTTGTTGCCCCGTGAATGGCTTGTGTTGATGCAAGGAACTCAGCCACAAGTTCTTTTCTGGCCATACTGCCCCCAGGTGTGTTTCCTGCCCTTCAGAGGAGGGTGGAAGAAAAGCAAGTTATAAGGCCCTTTAGTGGACTCAGTGCTTGGTGCCAAAGCAGCCCTGACATGGAAGAACTGGGTAGTTGCAGCAAAAGGCACACATACCTCTGCAGCTTCTAAGTCAGAGGAATGAATAGTTCACACTCAGCTTCAGGGTTCTGATGGTCGCACACCACGGCTGATGTTGGATTTCAGAAATGGATGCCCCATTGAAAACTGGAATAAAAGTCTTCTAATGCTCAGAAGGCACCTTCAGATAAGCTGTTTCTCATAGTGCGAAGGCATGTGTCACCTTCTATGCATGCTCTGGGTGCCCTGCTTAAAGGTAAGTAAAATGAAAGTCTTCCTGTGGAGGTTGCTGGCACTCAGACGTGGGGACGGCACTGTTGGTCTCTTTATTTTTATTTTTTAATTTTACCTTGAGATTTCTATCCCGCCCTGTGGGCTCAGGGCGGCTTACAACATGTCATAAAACCAATAAATCCAGAACCTAAAAAGGTTAGTCAAGAATAGAAGAGGGCCAACTCTAAAAATCTAATTATGAAACATACAAAAATATACATGTATTTATACAACATAAATTAAAATAACAAACAAGGGCCCATTCATACCTCGTATACAAATATAAAAACATACAAGGGCTAATGAAATAGACCTAACGCGTTTCGGCCTTTACAGGCCTTCCTCAGAGGTCTAATACAGACAGAACATATTGGCTGGTCAACTGTGTATTCTTCTGATCAACACTGCTTTTAACCTAAGGAACATTTTATTGGGAACATTTGGCTGTACAACCTCAGAAGAATATACAGTTGACCAGAGAGAGGTACTACTTGTCATGTGATTGCACTGGAGGCTTCATTTGTATTTTTGTATTGCTTTTCTTTGCCCAGTGGTTAAACTTTGGAACAATTAGTTTCTGGTCTTTATTCCATATTTTGTATATGTATGATTGTATGTACTATTTTTGCATATCAGCCAATATGTTCTATCTGTATTAGACCTCTGAGGAAGGCCTGTAAAGGCCGAAACGCGTTAGGTCTATCTTATTAGCCCTTGTATGTTTTTATATTTGTATATGAGGTATGAATGGGCCCTTGTTTGTTATTTTAATTTATGTTGAATAAATACATGTATATTTTTGTATGTTTCATAATTAGATTTTTAGAGTTGGCCCTCTTCTATTCTTGACTAACCTTTTTAGGTTCTGAATTCTAGGTTTAGGTTCAGTTCCCCCCCCCCTTTTTTTCTTCTTTGTCCTTATAAAACCAATTAAACCATCTCATTAAACATCAATACAGTTAAAACATCAATTCATGGAAAATAACATTGAATACCAAATTAAAATACCAAGTGGCAGATCAGTGATTCATTTGAGTCTACTATATGCTGAGCTCATTGAGGGGGGGGGATCGCTCTATTTGAGTCCGTCAGTCACTCCTGACACCCATGATGTAAATAGTGCTACAGAGCACTTGAAGCAGGGTCAGACCAGTGTTATGTGGCGTCCATCACCTCAAACAAAGACTTTGTCCCCATGTGTTTCTGGGAATTCAGCCGAACTGCAAAGTAAAAACATAAGAGAAGCCAGTGTCGGATCAGGCCAATGGCCCATCCAGTCCAACACTGTCACACAGTGGCCAAAAATACCAGTTGCCATCAGGAGGTCCACCAGTGGGGCCAGGACACTAGAAGCCCTCCCACTGTTGCCCCCACTCCTCCAAGCACCAAGAATACAGAGCATCCCTTGCCCCAGCCCGAGAGTTCCTATCTATACCTTGTGGCTAATAGCCACTGATGGACCATGAGCATACCATGAACATGCGCATTTGCTACTTTGCAGCAAACATGAGAAAGAGAATGTGAGCACATCCTCTCTTAGAATCAGTAGTCTGTATCCAACCATCCACGGTCTTTGTGGGATGGGACTCTCGCACTTCCCCTCCTGCATCCTAATGACCTCCCAGAAATATTGTTATGGGGAAGGGGGTTCAGTGAACCCTCGGGACCATCATAGAGGGCAAAGTGGGGATCTGCAGTGGAAGGAGGGGGGACTCGGGACCATCATAGAGGGCAAAGTGGGGGATCTGCAGTGTGTGTGTGGTGGGGTCATCACAAAGGCTGTTCCATTAGAGGAACTGTGTGGTTGGATACAAATCTGTGTAAGCTTGTTAAAAAAAAGAAACTTGAGTTGTAGACTCAACTGACTTTAAATTTGATGCACTGAACTGTCATGTTGAGTTATCTTCCTCCTCGCCCTTTACCACCAGAATCAGTGGACCAAAGCTATGACCAATTAGAAGAGCAACAGGAAACTCCAGAAGACACGGAAGGCGAGCCCGTCACAGAAAAGAGCTTGTCCGACGAAGACAACGAGGAAGAAGGAGAAGACGAGTCTCAGGAGAACTCCTCCGGTGACTCAGCAGTCGAGAGTTCCATGGTGGAAGAGGACTTGGAGCACCACACTTCAGACCAAAGCTCCCTAAGGCAGCGTAAAAACCAGGAGGTGGCTGACGAACTATAGTGCAATCGTTAGGTAATCACATTGTTTTGGACCAAAGAAGTATCAGGAGACTCTCTTTGACTGCAGCTGAAGCCAAACATTTGACCAGCCAACTGTTAAAAGCTCAGATCCACGCTTTGCGCCGATAGGCTATTGTTGTTGTTTTTTTTGTAGGGCCAGTATTTTATAAAAGTCCATCCTGCAAGAGAAATGTTCCAGTGTTGACATGATCGCCATGACAATCAGATGCATGACTTTATTTTATAGCCGTTGTGGGATTCAGAGGAGTTGGCAGAAAGTTTTTACCTCCAAGGCATGCCGCCAGCAAGGAGAAGTATGCCTTGGGATAGCTCCTCCCCCTGTCCTACCATAACACTGTGCACAGTTAGCAGCCCTCCTGCAATGTAAGGCTTTTCCTCCAAATGCAGTGCCACTGAAATTGGAGGAAAGCTTGCCAGGCTGGAGGAAGGGTCCTTGGCTCCACACCACTGTCTAATAATGTAAATTCTCTGTCAGTATTATCTGTTGGGTGACTTAATTGATCTCTGGTACGTTCTTTGCTGGGACAAGCCAGTTAGAGAACTGGAAGTGTTGGAGTGAAAATCTGTCACGGTTCCTTGGCAGACTTCAAGCATTACCAGTCATTAAGATGCCACTCTGTGCAGACGCGGCGTCATGTTTGGAGTGACTTGCCTTAGTAACGTGTGAGGCCACCCATTGTGCTACTTACATAGGATAAGGTGCAAAGTTTTCCTAGAAGCGTGTCGACTTAAATCCACGTCACCTTCTAAAATTACACGCATGCATTTCTTGCTGTGTTATTGTGTGGCTCTCTTCCACGTGTGGGGATATGGGTTGCCCGAATGCTTGTCTGTAAGGTGAATATCTCACGACTTCATTTGCTGACTGCACGTGAGGAGTGTTCAGGTTATTCTGATGGCTTTGGTCATGTTAAGATTTCGAACATGTATTCCTGTGTAGCAAAGTGGTGCACCTTTTATGTCCTGCTGTTGGGCCCTCACAAGGGATAGCAGGGCAGGTAGGGTCACCAAGCAGAAAATGCCGCTTTTTATTTGCATATTCCTTAGTTTTAAACAATGGCTCATACTTGAAGTGGTTCCTACTTTGCTTATTCCTAATGACCAAAATGCTCATTCGATCTCCACAGGAGAGCTGTTGTAACTGTCTGCAGTGTGATAGTTCATCATAGAATTTTCACTAGTCCATTCATGCGCCCCATGTGATCCAGTATAATATAGCTATGCCGGTATATCTTAAGCACGGTGATAGTTCTTGGCACCTTAAATAAATGCTGTTTGCAAATGCATTGGTGTGAAATGAAGCTTACAGTGTATGAAACATTAGCGCAGAAAGCGATTCCAATATTTCCATTTATTTAGTGATAGCGTCATTAGACAGAGAGGAGGGCAGCGAATCCAGAGTTGTAAATTAATGGCAGATCATTGTCAAGACAGTATTCATCTCTTGTAGTGGGAGTTGGTTCCACTGTGTAAGTGATCGGCTTTAAAAACCCATCTCTTTAGTGTTAAAGCAGCATAACTGTAGTGTCGTATAATATGCTCTTCCAGTGACTCTTAGCAGTGGCAGACAGACACTAAATTCCTTAGCAATTCAGTTTCCTTTGCAGTTAATTGTGGTGATGTTATAGACTAGGTTTTGCAGCGGTTATATGCACTTGACTCAGCACAAGAAAGCTTGAAACAAGCTACATTTGCTTGCCTCTTGACAGGATTGCTCTGACTGTTGATATAAATCGGTTTTCCATCTAGGGCAAGTACACACAATCAAGTATGGAGGATGACGTCTTAATGCACATCTTGTTGCAAACATATGTACCCTTGGGTTGGTGTTACTTGAAAACGTTAACCAAACCTCACAATTAAGACGGCGCACAATTGAGAAGTCTGATTGTTGAATGCCATGAATGCTTCAAGTTGAAAATGTGTTTCATTTGTATGTTACACGAACGTATGATGTTGGGACCATGCCAGGGGAACAACACAGACCGTTTGTCCTAATTTGGTCCTGAAATTACTGAAGCAAAATGCCTTAATGATATGATTATGACCGAACTTATTTTTCCGTTGCAAGGTGGAAGATCTGAATACTGCTGCTTGATATGTCTGTCTTTCCAACTGTCTGCTGTCCTTTGTTGTCATATGTAGAGTCTGTCTCAATTGACCGTGTATGCCTGACAGTTCACTGTTGAACACAGGATTCACATCTAAGTAGGACTGATCTCACACGAAGGCGTAGACAACTGCTAAAAGTGTATGTGTAGTTCATCTGAAAGTACCAGACAATCCTGGAAAGACTGCTTGTTCATATGCTGTCTTCGGTAGTTCATCTGAAAGTACCAGACAATCCTTGTTCATATGCTGTCTTCATTGAAAATATCCATGGCTGCAATCCTGGGTGTGCATACTTGGAAGTAAGTCCCATTAAATTCAGTGGGATTTAATTCCAAGAGGACTAGTCTGCCATTGTGCTGACATGTTCTGAAAGGAGGATCTATGCACTGAGCGGTTGTTATTGAACTTCCCTTAGATACACCTTAAGAACATTCATAGCACCTTTGCTGCATCAGGAGACAACTTTCAGTCAATCACGGTTTCAGCTGCGTTTAGTTTCCACAAGCACTAGATGGCAGGCATGTTGCAGATATATAGAGGCTCATGCATAAGTGCTCAAGTTGGCTTCAGGGCAGAAGATGACAGTCAGGTACTGTTAAGGAAGCTGAGGGTTGAGTTGGGGTTTTAACAGTTGCTGAAAACGATAAATGCTGTTGAAAGCACGCGACAGTTTTCAAAGTTCTTTCGGGGTTTTACTTGCGAGGGGGCCCAATTTTTGAAGGTGGCCAGTTTTCATGAGGCAGGGCCAAGTAATTTAATTTAGAAACAGCTTTTAAAAAGTTGGCTTTGGGTAATGAAGATTTGTCCACTCTAAAGCAATGGTTGCTGTGTAATAAATAACTCTGGAGAAATACATTACATGTTATGCTTCTGGCCTAGTCGAAATGGTTGGTTTAGCTTATGTAACTTGCAAAACGGTTATATGTTTAAGTTAAATATGCAAATGAATTTATACTAAAAATGCCACTAATGTTTATTTCCTTAACTATAAAGTTTTTATTTATTCCATTTTTTTCTGTGTCGTTTATGAAATGGTGGTATAAAATGTACTGGAAAATGGATGGTTGGTAGCTCAGTGGTAAAGCATTTGCCTTTCTGTGGTAAAGTGGTAAAACATTTGCCTCTCTCTGCACACACATGCACACACGCAAGAGCCTTGGCATCTCTTGTTAAAAAATTGGGGGGATAGCAGGTGTGTGGTGGCTATGGTGTGAGGGGGTGAGGTGCTGAGGTAACTGCCTTCTATCCAACCCCCCCCCCCTCACTCTGGCCTCTTCTATAGTTTATACACCACCCACCCACACCCACAACCAAATAAAAAAGGGGACACAAGCTTGGTTTGGTGCAGTGGTTAAGTGCGCAGACTCAAATCTGGGAGAACTGGGTTTGATTCCCCACTCCTCCACTTGCACCTGCCGGATGACCTTGGGCAAGCCATAGTTCTGGCATAGCTGTTCTTGAAAAAGAGCAGTTTCTGTCAGAGCTCTCTCAGCCCCACCTACCTTACAGGCTGTCTGTTGTGGGGAAGGGAAAGGAGTTTGTAAGCTGCTCTGAGATTCCTTTGGGTAGTGAAGGGCGGGGCATAAATCCAATGTCGTCGTCGTCGTCGTCTTCTAAATTAAATATTGGTAGTGTGTAAGCTATGTGTTCCCTAAAGGTCTCTAATTTGGAAACCTGCTAGACTAAGGCTGTACTTATATGTGAGGTAAACAGAGACCACTGCTTCTTAGACTTTTGACTTGATACAAGACACAGATGGACAAAGGTTTATTTAACAGAGAACAAAGTAATAAGGTAAATTTATTTATTTATTTATTTATTTCAATTTATACCCTGCCCTCCCCGCCAAGGCAGGCTCAGGACAACTTACATAGAGTTTCATGTAAATACAATTAAAACCCATCATAAACAATGTAAACATAAAATAACATACATTCATTTAAAATACTCCTAAAATGCTGGAACTTGATCTGATAAAAAGCGAGGGCAGAAGTTTACATTCATGATACTACTGCTCACTAACAACAACAGTTAGCTCCATGATGGCTGAAAATGTAAGCGGCTTTTAAATGCCAACATCCCTTCCCAAGTTGCAACATTTAAGTCACGAGTGAAGTCAAGTAGATCCAACTTATTGCGTAGGTATCAAGGTCTAATGCCATAGAATCCACCCTCCCAAGCAGCCATTTTCTCCACGGGTAGTGATCTGAGTTGTCTGGAGATCAGTTCTGATTCTTAAAGAGATCTCCAGGTGCCAACTGGTTGGCTGGCAACACTACACATGGAGGAGAAGGCCAATCAATGGCTACCAGCCATGGCGATTTATGGATAACTGAAATCTATCAAGTAGAACCGGCACTCTAATAAAGTAAATAACCCTGAGAGGAGCTTTGATTGCCCTTTGTCCAGACAGGGTACCTCAGCAGATTCAAGGCCGTTCTTTTCTATCAAAGAGCACTTCACCACAGAATCTGCACACACCAGGTAGGAATGGTGGGCCCTTAACAGGATGCTTATTTGTTGCACAAAGATAAGTTTCCATAAGCTGACCCCCCCCCCAACCCTTACTAAAAGCGAAATTAAAGCCTGGCTAAGCTGATGTTCCTTTCCAGAGCGATGAAATTCCAGTCCAAAAGAGGGAGGGGGGAGTCTTCACCCCTGGTAAAGGTAAAGGTTCCCTTGCTTGAAAGCCAGTCGAATCCGACTCTAGGGTTGCGGTGCTCATCTCCGTTTCCAAGCCGAAGAGCCAGCGCTGTCCGAAGACATTTCCGTGGTCATGTGGCCGGCATGACTAGACGCCGAGGCGCACGGAACGCTGTTACCTTCCCACTGAAGTGGTCCCTATTTATCTACTTGCAATTTCTTGCTTTCGAACTGCTAGGTTGGCAGGAGCTGGAACTAGAGACGGGAGCTCACTCCATCATGCGGCACACTCGGGTCTCGAACTGCTGAACTACCGACCTTCCACAGCCTGCAGTTCAGCATCTTAACCACTTGAGCCACCGCAGCTCCTTCACCCCTCTTAAGCTGAGGCTAGTTCCCCCCCTCCCATCCAGTGGAGTTCCAGGGACTCCATAGATACTTGACTTGACAGACCAAGATACAGCAGAAGGAGATGAACAATGAAAAAAAGGTTTATTTAACAGGAAAGAAAACTATTCAATAGGATAATTTTTGTGTGTGTGTGGATGACTTGACTTGACAGACCAAGATACAGCAGATGGAGATGAACAACAACAAAAAAGGTTTATTTGACAGGAAATAAAAGTATTTAATAGGGTAATTTTTTTTGTATGTGGATGGCTTGCTTCAATATATAAGGTGAAACTGGGTCTCAACTTCACCCCTGTAGGATACAAGCTTTCCTCAAAGAGTAACTGCTTTGTAGCTGAGTCTCAGTTAATGTAAATAAACCCTGAGGGGAGATTTGATTTCCCTTTCTCAAGATAGGTTAGCTCAGCTTCCAAGGTTTCATATTTCCATAACAGACAGGATCCTCTCCAGGTTCAAGGTTGTTGTCTTAACACACAGCTGTCCACAGAACCTGTATATATATGTTAGGAATGTCAGGCCCTTAACCAGAATGCTTATTTGTCTCACTAAAACAAAATTTCTTCCCTAAATTGACCCCAAAAGCCCAATAAAAACCTGGCTTACACTGATGCTCTTATCCCAAGCTACCAAGATTCTGTCTCAGAAGAAAGTTTTCCCCTTCCTAACCTTAAACAGAGTCTGGCTCATCCCCTCCCAATCCAGTGGAGTTTTTGGGCTTCTGCAAAGGGAAGTCCTGCCTCACCAACCTCTTGGAGTTCTTTGAGAAAGTGAACAAGGATGTAGACAGTCGTGACCTGGTAGACATTATATACCTGGACTTTCAAAAGGCTTTTGACAAGGTACCTCACCAGAGACTCCTGGGTACACTTAGTAGTCATGGGATAAGAGAATGTGTTCCCGTCTGGATTAAAAACTCGTTACATGACAGGAAGCAAAGACAATGGAGGAAAGTAGGCGGTGGGGTCCCACAAAGATCAGTATTGGGGCTGGTACTTTTTAATTTATTCAAAAATGATTTGGAACTAGGGGTGAGTAGTGTAGTGGCCAAGTTTACAGATAACACAAAACATTTTAGGATGGTGAAAACCAGGCTGGCTGTAAAAAGTAAAGGTAAAGGTTCCCTTGCTCGAAAGCCAGTTGAATCTGGCTCTAGGGTTGCAGTGCTCATCTCCGTTTCAAAGCCGAAGAGCCAGCGCTGTCCGAAGACGTTTCCGTGGTCATGTGGCTGGCATGATTAAACACCAAGGCGCACGGAATGCTGTTACCTTCCCACTGAAGTGGTACCTATTTATCTACTTGCAATTTCTTGCTTTCAAACTGCTAGGTTGGCAGGAGCTGGAACTAGAGACGGGAGCTGTAATGAGCTCCAAAAGGACCTCCACAAACCGGGTGAGTGTGTGGCACTGTAGCACATGTAGTTCAGTGTCGGTAAGTGTAAGGTGATGCACATTGGGATTAAAAATACTAGTTTAAAGTATAGGCTAAATGGGGGTCTGAACTTTCTGAGACTGCGAGGGGAAAAGATCCTGGGGTCTCAGTGGGTAGATTAATGAGAGTATCAACCCAGTGTGCTGCAGCGGTGAAAAAGGCAAACTATATTAGGGATTATTAAGGCAATGAGAATAAAACTGCCAATATTGTAATGCCCATGTTTAGATCTATGATGTGGCCTCACTTGGAATACTGTGTAGAGTTCTGGTCATCGTATCTCCAAAAGGGCTTTGCAGACCTGGAAAAAGTACAGAGGAGGTCAACCAAGATGATTTGGGGGAGGGGGGTTTGGACCACCTTCCCTATGAGGAAAGGCTGAAGAGTCTGGGATGTTTCAGTTAATGAAAAGAAATGACTAAGGGTGGGGGGCATGATGGAGGTTTATAAAATCATGCATGGGATGGAGAGAATTGACAGAAATTATTCCCCCTCTCCCAAAATACTAGAACTCAGTATGCAATGAAACTGAGGGGCAGTAGGTTCAGGACGGACAAAAGGAAATACTACTTTACACATAGAGTGATTACAATGTGGAATTTGCTGCCAGAGGATGTAGTGATGGCCACAGGAATAAACAGCTTTAAAAGGGGATTAGATAGATCCATGGAAGAGAGGTCTATCAATGGCTACTAGCCATGGTGACTGAGGGTAATTCCACATTCAGAGTCTGTGATCCCTCCATTGGGGCAGACCCACCTTTTTAAAAAGAAGCCTCTTTACTTTTTAATAGCTTCCTTGATTTGCGTTGTTAACCACGCAGACCTTGTTTTTTAGACTTGGCAATGCCTTCCCTAATCTGTGGAATGCACAGAGGTTTCTGACTGTCCCAGTAATCATCCCCCTAGAGGTAGATGTGAGGGTACGTAGCAGGTTTGCAGTTTTTCCAGTTTTTATTTACATCTTGGGCCCATGATTAAGGCTCCCAGGAAAACTAAAACAGACCCCGGTCACACGGGCTGGATATCGCGCGGGGGGGGAGAGGCGTGGCTAACAGCCCCGGCGCAATTTGATCCGTGATTACGCAATCAGACGCCGGCACACCACGGGTCCTTGCGGCAGGTAAACGAGGGACCAGAGGGGAATGCCGGGCGCCGGCACGATCACACCACAGGAGTCTGGAGGCAGCTCGTGGCAAACGTTTACTAGTACTTTGGAGGTACTACTTTTTTAATGCGCATTTTCGGCGGTAAATCACGGGTGCACCCCACTTCCCAGATGTTGGGGTGTGATCGCGCCCGGATAATCTGCCCATCATCTGTGCCTCTCCCACGGCAACTTTGCCGTGTGACCGGGGCCATTGACTAACAAAATCATTTAAAAGATGGGGCTAGAACCTTTTGTACCTGATGTGTTAATTTGCCATTTGCATCTACTGTATATATTTAAGGGAAGCAGTTTGTATCAGTTGGCCCACGGTCTTAGATCCATGCATGGTGCCTTCCCATGGGACCAGTCATAACTGAGGTCAGGTTGGGTAGAGACCCAGAAGAGCACCTTTTCTCTGCTGCCTCCCATCTTCCACCAGGAATGAGGTTGGTATCATTCCTCCAGGCTGTCTGGACTAATATTTTCCAGAAGGCCTTTTGGATTGCATTGGACAGGGCTTATTAAATTCATTCGTCTGTTTTTCCCCTCAGATGACTTCGTTAATTTTGTATTGATTTTATAATGCCAGTGTATTTTAGCCTGTTGTGAAGTGCCTTGAGGATCTTTGGGTAGAAAGAGAAAATGTCTGCATTGGAGAGCTCCTTAGGCTTAGGTTCTGGTAAAGCACCCCAACTTCAAATATCTTGAATTGCATGTTCAAATATTAGAACAAGTTTAGAGTCCAATGACACCTTTAAGACCAGCAAAGCTTTATTCAAGGTATAAGCTTTCGTGTGCATTTGATAAAGTGTGCGTGCAAGCGAAAGCTCACACCTTGAATAAACCTTTGTTGGTCTTAAAGGTGCCACTGGACTCTAAATTTGTTCTACTGCTTCAGACCAAAAGGCTGACCAACTGGATCTATGTTCAAATATTTTTTTTTTGCTTTCTGAATTGATTAACATGGCTGTGGGTCGCATCTTGATTGGGTGAATAAAAAATACATGGCAAAGTCCAAAGTCGGAGTCCAGAATGTCAATAAGTGGTTGACTCATTACTCGGGTTACTTTAAACAGTCTAAACTCTGCTAAGATTTAATGATTCACCGGCAGAAGAGCCAACCTTTTCAAACAGCCTGAGAAGCAAAATCCAACAGAGGAATCCACCGTCATGTCAGGAAGACTGATTTGTATTGCTGACTTTGAACAGCACGCTAAGGAAGTTCTTCCAAAATCAGTGTACGATTATTACAGGTCTGGGGCAGATGATCAGCAGACGTTAGCAGAAAATGTAGACGCATTTTCCAGGTGAGCAGTGGGGCAGAAATCAGTAAACGGAAACGACCTGTTTCAGGCACGGAGTCAGACCTGTGATGGGGTGGTAGAAGGAAGGAGCAAATTGTCCACCATGGGAGCTTAAATGGCTACAGAATCTGTAAATAATCATGGCCAACACAACTATGCATCTTGGTATTCCAGGAGTTGCTGTGAAACGGGATTCGGATAAAAAATTGCTTACATCCGGAATCTTGCGCTTGGTCCTATCAGCCTTAATAGAATGGCGAGACCCGTGTTGTCCATGCAGAAAGTTCTGACAGACTGTGCCATGCCCAAGAAAAGGTAGCTGCACCACAAAGTTGATGCTGACTCATCTGCACTCCTTGGGGTCCCTTCAGCAAAACAACTTCTGTGCTTGTGTAGCAAATGGTCACATAATATATAACTTCTTCTGCTAAATGTGGGAAACAGGTATAGCAAGATGAGGGCCAGCAACCAGCCACAAAAGAAGGAGAAATCCCCACCACCACATTTTTACCTTTGGGATTATGTAAACTCCTAAAATCCCGCACCCCCCCCCCCCCAATTACCTTTCTCAGGTCCTCTCAACATTGTATGCTGAAGCATATTCAGTCCTCATCTGACTGGATTGTTAGGGGGGGAGTTTGCCTCCTTCTGGCTACTTCAAAGTGTTTTATTGTTCTGCATACCCGGGAGTTCCCTGCATGGACAGAGTCCGTGTACGGCCTGGTTTCACTGCTTTCGGAACTGGTGCAAGGGGTCAGCCACTTTACTACCGCATATAGTGGCTGGTGATGCTGGATTTTCTGGTTAAACAGAAGGCAATTCCCATTAATACATTTCAGATTTAAATTGTCTGATAACAAGTCCTCAGGGCAGCCACAAGGACTTTGTACGTTGTGAAATGGCCCTTCGTTTTGGGTTTGCTGAAGTTACATCAGGGCGTTAGCAGGGTATTTGCAGAGCATGAAGTCTGTGTTTTTATATGGTATCCGAGTCGATATGTGGCTTGTTTTCGTTTTGTATCTTAGCAGGGTAGGATCCCTTTGCCCTGACTTGGATGGCCTCGGCTAGTCAGATCTCAGAAGCCAAGCAGGGCCAGCCCTGGTTAGTATTTGGATGGGAGACCCCCGTGGAAGCCCAGGATTGCTACACAGAGGCAGGCAAGGGCAAACCACCTCAGAATGTCTCTTCCCTTGAAAACTCTATGGAGTCACCTAAGTTGGCTGTGGCTTGATGGCCCTTGACACACACACAAACACAGTATCTCTCCACCTTTCTAGTAGGGTTGCCAGGCCTGGGTTGGAAAATACCTGGAGACTTTGGGAGTAGATCTGGGAGATGGTGGGGTTTGGGGAGGAGAGGGGCAATACTACAGCATGGTACAATACTACAGAGGTTACCCTTCAAAGCCGCCATTTTCTCCAGGGGAGCTGATCTCTGTCAGCTGGAAATCCGTGGTAAGAGCGGGAGAACTCCGGGTCCCACCTGGAGGCTGGCAACCCTACCTTCTAGCCACAATGGGCACGAGTTGACACGGCTTGTGGTAGCCAAGTACTGCACTGTAAAGCAGCAGTTTGGAGAAGCAGCCAGAAGAGCAGGCCTAGGAGCTGAGGTTTCTTCTTTCCTCTCCGTGACATCAGATTGGGTTGGGAGAAATGTTGAAAGTTGGATCAAGACAATTGCTTCACTACCCTTCCTTCAAGTGCTTCCTGTCTGGAGACTTTGGGGGTAGATCTGGGAGATGGTGGGGTTTGGGGGAGGAGAGGGGCAGTACTACAGCATGGTACAATACTACAGAGTCTCCCCTTCAAAGCCGCCATTTTCTCCAGGGGAGCTGATCTCTGTCAGCTGGAGATCCGTGGTAAAAGCGGGAGAACTCCAGGTCCCACCTGGAGGCTGGCAACCCTGCCTTCTAGCCACAGTGGGCACGAGTTGACATGGCTTGTGATAGCCAAGTATTGCACTGTAAAGCAGCGGTTTGGAGAAGCAGCCAGAAGAGCAGGCCTAGGAGCTGAGGTTTCTTCTTTCCTGTCCGTGACATCAGATTGGGTTGGGAGAGATGTTGAAAGTTGGATCAAGACAATTGCTGAACGCGTATTTCACTACCCTTCCTTCAAGTGCTTCCTGGCGTAGCCGCATCATTTACAACAGTTGTTGCAGTATTTCTCAGAAAGCCCAGTCTGATTTCAGTTAAAAGCTTCTAAAGAGTGTGTGTGAAGATAAAGATTCAGTGGATCAAATTCACTGTAGCAGCATCTGAATGCTCAGTTCTATGGCATTATACCCTGCTGAGGTCCACCCCCAGGTTCCCCCAAATCTCCTGGAATTTCCCAATTCAGAGTTGGCAACCCTATGCTCCTTGGTCAGCTGTTGTATGAGGGTATGCCAGACCCCTGTATCTCCTCAATTGGCAGATTTCCCCTCTCCTAATCTTCAGTTCCCCTCAGTGATGGAGTTGCCCTACAGTAGCATGTGTATCTTCTCTATTGACACTAACTCGGAGGTGATAAAATAAGCCCTTGTCTGGGAGTGATTTCAAAAAGGATGTGAACAACTTGCTACAGAAACACCGTCACGGCCTCCATCTACATTGCAGACTTTTAGCAATATGCATCAACAGCCACGTACACAAAAGAGAGAAGTTACCACCAGGGTTGCTTCCCAGTTTGTCTCAAACGTTTGGCTACAGCTGCTGCTGATGGATAAAAAGGGATTCTGGGCGAATGAACTTCTTGGGTCCTTGTAGAACCCTTGACATCCTTTTTCTGGTCACTGTACAGAAGACTACCTCCTGCCAACAAAGCCTAAATAGATGCCTGAGCTACTGAGCCCCATGAACAAAACAGAAAGTTATGCATATGTAGGCCATCTCCATAATGTGTCGCTGGAGACCAAGATCAAGACAAGTCATAACATTTTTGTTGTTGTTGTTCAGTCGCACAGTCGAGTCCGACTCTTCGCGACCCCATGGACCAGATCATGCCAGGCCTTCCGGTCTTCCGCCGTCCTCTGAAGTTTGCTCAACTTCATGTTTGTTGCATCTATGACACTGTCTAACCATCTCCTCCTTTGCCATCCCCGTCTTCTTTGACCTTCAATCTTTCCCAGCATCAGGGTCTTCTCCAGTGAGTGCTCCCTTCTCATTGGGTGGCCAAAGTATTTGAGCTTCAGTTTCATTATCTGGCCTTCCAGGGAACAGTCAGGGTTGATTTCTTTTAGGATTGACTGATTTGATCTTCTTGCAGTCCAAGGGACTCTCAAGAGTCTTCTCCAGCACCATAGTTCAAAAGAATCTATTCTTCGGCGCTCGGCTTTCTTTATAGTCCAACTCTCGCAGCCATACATGACTACTGGGAATACCATTGCTTTGACCATGCGGACTTTTGTTGGCAGGGTGATGTCTGTACTTATTCCCCATTACTATGTACGGGTGTGAAAGTTGGACAGTGAAGAAAACTGGCAGGAAGAAAGTGGATTCATTTGAAATGTGGTGTTGGGGGAGAGTTTTATGGATACTGTGGGCTGCCCAAAAGAGAAATAAGTAGGTTCTAGATCAAATCAAGCCTGAACTCTCCCTAGAAGCTAAAATGACTAAACTGAGGCTATCGTACTTTGGTCACATCATGAGAAAACCAGGTCCACTGGAGGAGGAGGAGTCTCTCAGCCCCACCTACCTCACAGGCAGTGTTCCCTCTAAGCTGAGTGAGTGTGAGCTAGCTCACAGTTTTTTAGCTTCCACCTCACACATTTTTGTCTTAGCTCAGGAAGGACGGCTTCGGAGTAAACTAATTTATGCAGTAGGCAAATCGCTCGCTCACAACTTTAATCCCCGTAGCTCACAAAGTAGAATTTTTGCTCCCAAGACTCCACAGCTTAGAGGGAGTATTGCCTGTGAGGTAGGTGGGGCTGAGAGAGCTCTGAGAGAACTGCTCTGAGAGAACTGTGACTGACCCAAGGTCACCCAGCTGGCTGCATGTGGAGAAGTGGGGAATCAAACCCAGTTCTCCAGATCAGAGTCTGCTGCTCTTAACTGCACTGCACCAAAATAATGCTAGAAAAAGTTGAAGGCAGCAGGAAAAGAGAAAGACCCAACGGGAGATGGACTGACTCAATCAAAGAAAGCCTGTAAGACCTGAGCAAGGAGATTAGCGATAGGATGTTTTGGAGAAGATTAATTCATACGGTCACCATAAGTCAGCAGCAACTTGACAGCACTTCAAACACACACACACACGCAATCACAAACTCCCTTATTGGTGGTTTTGCACAAGAGATGTCGCTGCACAAGCCATGGCAGAAAATGTCTACAAGAAGTCCGGTGCTGGAGGAGGGATGTGTGTGCTTTCTTCCTGCTCAGCGAGTCTTTAACTGCTGCAGAAATATGTCACTTCCCAGAGCTTTCGCTGACTTTGCTGGAACATGAATTCATTCACATGGCATTACCCGAACTGGAAATAATTGGATTTAGTCCACTCCATATTGCTTGGCTGAGAATTCTAAAAAAGATTTGCTTTTGATGAAAACACAGTAACAGCTTATTGCAGTTCTCAAACTGTGCACTGTATCCCCAAAATGTACCGTGTCTTTCTCATGGGTGGATCACAAGGCACAAGTACCTTCAGTGGAAGAGGAGGTGCCTCCAGACTCAACTCCTCCAAGCAACAGGAGAACAGGAGCAAAGCTGCTATCTCCCCCTTTCCACCTTTGCCCTCTAGCCCTATTAATTTCCATGGATTAAGATAGTTCATTCCCAGCCAGGAGGTGATGGGTGTAGCCTGTAGCAGAGGTCCCCATAATGTTCCCTCTAAGGCAGGGGTGTCGAACTCATTTGTTATGAGGGCTGGATCTGACATAAATGAGACCTTGTTGGGTCGAGCCATGTGTGTCATAAAATGTAATGCCAGGTAGTGGAGATATAAACTTTATAAAGGACACAAACACAAAGGTGTTTTTTTTAACTTAAAATAAAACCATGTTTAAAACATTAGCACTCTTGCAATATTTTGTTTATTTAATGGTGTCTGATAACTGACGCCTCTTGCTCTGAATTATTACATTAAAATGTCTGTGCTGTTGCAATCTTGAGTATGCTGTTCAGGTGCGTATCTGTAAGCTGCAAACTCTACGATGATGCAGCAGCAGCAGAACTGGAAGAAGAAGCAGAAGACAGCCAGTTCCACTGCGGGCCTGAGAGAAGCCTGCCAGGGGCCTGATCCGGCCCTCGGGCCGCATGTTTGACACCCCTGCTTTAAGCTACGGAGTCTTGTGAGCAAAAACTCTACTTTGTGAGCTACTGGCATTGAAGTTGTGAGCAAGCGATTTGGCTGCTGCATAAATTAGTCTGCTCCAGAGCCATCCTTCCTGAGCTAAGACAAAAACGTGTGAGCCAGAGGCTAAAAAACTGTGAGCTAGCTCACACTAACTCAGCTAAGAGGGAACACTGGGGACTCCCCAACTTTTTTGAACCTGCAGGCACCTTTGGAATTGTGTCAAAGGGTGGTGGGCACAGTCACAAATCCTTCAGATCCCACCTGAAGGCTGGCAACCCTGAGTCTCCAATAGCAGGACAAGGCGTTAGGATGAGGCGTTAGCGAGCTGCCGCCAGACAGACTAAGCAACACTAAAGGAAAGCAAAGTAAATGGTAAGTAAGTAAAATGGTGAAAGGGTGACTGTTTCAATCAGGCATGTCCATGTACCTGGATTAGTTACTGGAACTTAATTAACTTGAAATAGATGAAGTCAAGACTAAGAAAGCTCTACTTAAAATATAGGTAATCTCAACCATGTGTGATTAGAGGGGCGAGGACAATATTTGTAGCACTTTAGAAAGCACTTCTAAAGGAAGTGTACCTTGTCCTGACCTGGGTAGCCCAGGCAAGCTGGATCTCGTCAGATCTCGGAAGCGAAGCAGGGCAAGTATTTGGGTGGGAGACCTCCAAAGAATACCAGGGCCGGGAGGCAGAGGCAGGCTATCAAGGCACTTCTCTGAACGTTCTCCACGACCCAGTAGGAGTCACCAGAGGTCACCATGACTTCCAGGCATGGTTACACACGTGCACATACAAACAAAAAAATATACATAGAGAGAGGAAGTGAACACAAGAACATAAGAGAAGCTGATGCTGGATCAGGCCAAAGGCCCATCCAGTCCAACACTCTGTGTCACACAGTGGCCAAAAATACCAGGTGCCATCAGGAGGTCCAGCAGTGGGGCCAGGACACTAGAAGCTCTCCCACTGTTGCTCCCCCCCCCCAAGCACCACGAATACAGTGCATCACTTGCCCCAGAGTGAGAGTTCCTATCTATACCTTGTGGCTAATATCCACTGATGGAGCTCTGTTCCATATGTTTATCTAATTCTCACTTGAAGCTGTCCATGCTTGTAGCCACTACCACCTCCTGTGGCAGTGAATTCCATGTGTTAGTCACCCTTTGGGTGAAGAAGTACTTCCTTTTATCCGTTCTAACCCGATTGCTCAGCAATTTCATGGAGTGCCCACAAGTTCTTGTATTGTGAGAAAGGGAGAAAAGTACTTCTTTCTCTACCTGCTCTATCCCATGCATAATCTTGTAAACCTCGATCATGTCACCCCTCAGTTGTTGTTTCTCCAAGCTAAAGAGCCCCAAGCGTTTTAACCTTTCTTCATAGGGAAAGTGTTCCAACCCTTTTATCATTCTCAGTGAATAGAATATTATGATGACCCAACAAATCCTTCACTGGAGGCAGCTTTTTGCCGCTAGCTAGACTTGTTAACATGATCCTTTACAAGTTTCACCCATGTTTTGAAATGGCATTCTCAAAGGGAATGCCTTTAACTTCCTCTGAAAAGAGAGACGGGAATCATGTTGCCAATACTTCTGTATGCATGTATAGCAGCGATTCTTCCAAAAGGATGCAAAATAGTGATAGCTGTACATCAAGGACAGCTACCCAACAGGTTAGAGTACATGACCTACCAGAGGTTCCTGAACCGTGGGTTGAAGGCCACTGAGCTCCCTCTGTTTCCCAAACCACTGCCCTTCTCATGTTGCTTAACACAACTTGATTTTCATACCAGATCTTCTCTCATTTACATGTATGCTGGCTCACTTTCCAGGTTTGGTGTAGTGGTTAAAAGCGTAGATTCTAGTTTGGGAGAACCGGGTTTGATTCCCCATTCCTCCACATGTAGCTGCTGGTGTGACCTTGGATCAGTTACAAGTTCTCTCAGAGCTGCTCTCTCAAGGGCAGTCCTCCAAAGAGCTCTCTCAGCCCCACCTACTTCACAGGGTGTCTGTTGTGGGGAGGGGATTGTAAACTGCTCTGAGACTCCAAGTGAAGGGTGGGGTATAAATCCATCCTCCTCCTCCTCCTCCTCCTCCTCCTTTTCCTCCTCCTCACCATCATCACCAATTTCTGTCCAAGCTTCTCCAGTTCCTGTGCTTAATGATTTCATGTGTCAGCGCTAGTTTAAGCTGAATATTTGGGCCATCAGACTGGTTTTGCATCATGGCTCTCATGTACTGAGCAAACGTTTAATAGGGTGGTCATCATTTGACAGTGTGGCCCTATTTCCATTTATGCCAGATTAAAACTGTATCCCCGGATGCTGAGGGACGTGTCTGCTGTGGACCTGTCAACTTCCATTTTAGGACAACACGTCAGCATGCCGATATGTGTCGGAGCGACTGCCATGCAGCGCATGGCTCATGCAGATGGCGAGACAGCTACTGCCCGAGGTAAGCCACAACGATGGAGTGTTCCTTTGAAAGGCAGAATGTGAGTCAACAATGTACTTCTTGGTTATTGAGATTTTACTTTCTACGGGCTCAGGTTTGTCATCACTTCTTCCTGAAACATAAAAAGGAAACAAAATCGGGGTGAAATTCTACATCAAGGGCTTAGTAACTAATAAGAAATAGCATTTTATTTTCTTTCTACATTCAGGATAACAAATGGGGGGGGACCCCACAAGAACTCACTGGGCGGGTGGGGGACAGAAATCTCATCTACCTATGGCAGGTGATTCTCTTCCCTATATTATCTCAGGCTTTCTACTTCCTCATAGCCTTCGCAGCTTCTTCCTTTTCCCTGCTCTCTTCCTCCCCTCAAGCATCTGTTTCTCACACCCCTTTCTTCCATTTTTTGTTTCCTCCCTCCTTCTGCTCTGGCTTTGTTCCCCCCACCCCTATTCCTTTTTGTCTTTCCTACCTGCCTGTTCCTTCTCTCCTTCCAACTCACAACTCATCTCTATAGCTATTCTGGATTACCTAGGCAGCCACACTGTGTTTGCCTAGGCCATTCAAAATGGCTGCCCAGATCTTGTGAAGTAATTTTGTGAGAGCTGGACTCTGAAAGACTTTTCTATTTTATCCCTTCATTTTTTAATTTAAGATTTTTCCCCCTACAAGCCCGGGGGCTCCCCCAAGATTTGTAGACCCAACTCCCCATTCTGTACCTGGCCCCACTGTGAATTTTTTTTCTTCTTCTTGGTTTTTTGCCATTGTTCAGAATTATAGGCATAGATGTGGTATAGCAAGGAAAGATACAAAAAATTCTTAAACCAGGCCCTACAGATTACTGTGTATGGAAACTTCCACTTCTTGTCTTGGAAACAGATCTGTGCTAACTTTCCAAACAACTTTGCATGGCCAGGACTAAGTCAGACTTCTCATTGAAATAGTCTAACAGTAGTAGGGATTGAAATGGTCTATGAGTAGAAGGACAGGAGCCATAGCAATAACTGTTCACAGTGTTATGAAAAGAAGTTTGTACCCTTCAACAGCAATCTTGCATAAAGTTTGCAGTAAACAGGCTTGAACTCTAGACCAAGCTCATGTTGGAAAGCCTTGTACCCCTGTCTGGGCTGTACCACTTTAAAAACACAAAATGCTGAAGGCTTTTGCATAGGAACAGTGGCAAGGCTGGTACTCTGTGTGCTGATAAGCTAGAGTTCTACATGGCACCCATTTGTTTTCATATGAAGGAGCATTTCATCATGTGAACTTCCTTCTGCAGTTGAAGTGGTACAGCCCAGACTATCTTAATGGGAGCAAAGTTAGACAAATTGAGTTATTTGAGTTGAGTTGCCATGCTGGCAGTAATGCTAGATGGACCACTGGTCTGATCCAGCAGGGCTCTTCTTATGTTATGCATGACTTGAGGAAGATGAAGAAACAAATTAGTGTTGAGGGAAATAGAAATAGAATCTTTTAATAATTAAACAACCCTTAAGTGTTTCACATGCAGCTTCGTCGGGGGGGATCTAATGAAATAATTAAAAAATAGGGCACATGTGACACATAATTTTTTTAAAAAATTGTAAAACACAAGACACTTTCACAGAGCATGTACAGAATGCAATTCATAATTAGTTATTGATATTAAGACACCCAAACCAACATTAACATATACTACATATTGCATATTTAGAAAGGAATCACAATTGAAATTGTTTGTTAATTTGGACACTAAAAAATCATACTGACCTTTCAAACCTTTTCCCCTTTTCTTCTCTGACTACCCTAATAAACAGACGTTGCAAGTGGTACCTAATAAGCTGCTTTCTCACAGTCCCTCCAGTGGCCAACTAAAGCCACAGCACCAGCATATGAGAAAGTGGTTTTTGGATGCTTTGGTTGCTTTAAAATGAGCACAGAGTAATATTTTATTTGGTAATTGTAGAAGAAGCTGAGAATACTGGGACAGCAAATATTATAGCTATCCCATTAGAAAATGATGTTGCTGGGAGCAAGATGGCTATTAATGTACACCCCCTAGTAGTCCCTAGGTATCACTGTCAATGAGCAAGTATAATAATTTGCTACATTTGTGACAGGGAGTTCTGAAAGGCAGCACAACACAGGCCTGCTTCCCTTTGGATCAGAGGCCACTGGAGACTTACAGCGGCTTTGTAACATTTGTTTTCTTGAGCTAAATAGAAGCTGAACATAGTGGAATAAAGAAGTATAAAATGAGAAAGTGGTTCTCCAGAGAGAGGGTCATGGCACACCAAAGTGTTGCCACTTTCCTCGACTTCCTTCCTTCCTTCCTTCCTTCCTTCCTTCCTTTTTTCATTATCTATCTATCTATCTATCTATCTATCTATCTATCTATCTATCTATCTATCATCTATCTATCCATCCATCTGTCTTCCGTCATCCCTCCATCCCTCCTTCCATCTTATTTAATAACCCACACTCCAAACTTGCTGTTTATCTCATTCAACAACTGGTCACAAGTTTCTCCCTGCCCACCCCACACAAGTAAATTGCCTATTTAGAAAGTAATTAAATGACACAAACTTTGTAGTATGTGTGTGTCAAAGTCCTGGCTGTTCCTTCAAAACTAAACTTCCTCTCTGTGTATTACTACTTTTTTTTCCATATCTTTCCCCCCCTGTACTGTCTTTTCACCTCAGGTGGTTATCCATGTTGGTCTGAAGCAACCAAACAAAGCGTGAGTCGAGTGGCACCTTTACGACCAACAAAGTTGTATTCAAAGTGTAAGCTTTTGTGTGCAAAGCACAGTTCTTCAGACAAATTGGAGCAAAATCTCCTCAAGGGCTACTTACAGGAAAAAAGAGGGCGGGGGGGGGGCAGCTGTTAGGAGGGGCCACTCAGAGCCAAGATGCAGATGCAGAACTGGAATTGGATCAGGCAGCCAGTAAGATCAATGGAAAGCAGCAAATTAGCACGTAAATGCAAGAGTCAACAAAGTAATGTGAAAATGAAGCTAGAGTCCAGTGGCGCCCCCAGATCTGACCAGATCAGGCTAGCCTGGGTTAGGGTTAGGTAAATTCTTCTGAACTTCCTAGTTTAGCATCATGCTTGTTTCATATTAAGTTCCCACATGGGAGAACGTTCTACCTAGTATCTCACCCCTCTGACTGACCAAACCAAGTGGCTATCTAGAATGTATTTGGTAACCCTGTGTGCTTGGAGCTATTTGTCTGGTGAGATGTTTTCATGTTTTTTCCCTGTTTGGAGCCACTGTCACGTGGAATTATTTCCAAAGATGATCTATGTGGAGTCTGCTAGAGAAGACAGACAAAGCAACACCCATAACATATTGAAAAATGTCCCAGGTCAAGGAAGGAAGTCCACGGTCCTTCGGCAAGAACATATGTTGCTATCATTAAGTCGATGTTCCACATGGTGGAGCTCTAAGACCTTAAGTAGAAAACCATCATCCCAAACAGGGGCTATCAACGTGGAAGAGAGAGCTGATGTAATCAACATAGCTCAGTATTTTTTTCCTCACCAAAGGAGGATCAAGATGCATTTTAGAATAAAAAAGTATATAACTGGGAAAGTTGGGATTACGAGCAATCATGCAAGACTGGAAGAGAGTCGTGGTCCCACTATTGTGTTATAATCCATGCATCACATCACCATGCAGTGTGGTGTACTGGTCAGAGTGTCAGACTAGGATCTGGGGCACCCGGGTTCTGATCCTGACTCTGCTGCAGAAGGTTAAGAACATAAGAACATAAGAGACGCCAATGTTGGATCAGGCCAAAGGCCCATCTAGTCCAACACTCTGTCACACAGTGGCCAAAAATACCAGGTGCCATCAGGAGGTCCACCAGTGGGGCCAGGACATTAGAAGCCCTCCCACTGTT